TGTTTTGCTTTTTGTGCATTTAGGAAGTCACTTCTCATAGAAACCACATTTTATTTTATTTTATTTTATTTTATTTTATTTTATTTTATTTTATTTTATTTTATTTTATTTTATTTTATTTTATTTTATTTTATTTTATTTTATTTTATTTTATTTTATTTTATTTTATTTTATTTTATTTTATTTTATTTTATTTTATTTTATTTTATTTTATTTTATTTTATTTTATTTTATTTTATTTTATTTTATTTTATTTTATTTTATTTTATTTTATTTTATTTTATTTTATTTTATATTTTATTTTATTTTATTTTTATTTTATTTTATTTTATTTTATTTTATTTTTTAATTTTTTTATTTTATTTTATTTTATTTTAATTTTTTTTACTGGATTCCTCATTGTCCCTGAACTGTTTATCCAAAGCTTTGCCCAGGTGAGCAGAGAGGCCAAAGCTTTTCCAGGTGGGAAGCAAAGCTCTGCTGGATCTGTGCTTTGGGAATCTCTCCTTCCCTTCCCACCCTCCTTTTCCTTTCCCTGCCTATCCCAGAGTCGGAGGCAGCCCTGGTGCACGAATTTCAGACTGAATGTAAATAAGGTGTTGGGATTTTTCCAATTGTGAGTGAACTTTCAAACCAGGATTTTGCTTCCCTCTGCTCCCGCCCGGCTCACGGGATGGGAAGGATTTCCTCCAGTACCATCTCTTCTGTACTGGAAACCTGGAATATCCCTGGAATAGCCCTGGAATAGCCCTGGAATAGCCCTGGAATAGCCCTGGAATATCCCTGGAATAGCCCTGGAATAGCCCTGGAATAGCCCTGGAATAGCCCTGGAATAGCCCTGGAATAGCCCTGGAATAGGCCAGGCAGGCACTTGGTTGGGCCAGGAGAAGCAGGAGAGATCTCAGGCTGGTTTTATCTGCATGAAAAGGAGAGCAGAGCGCTCCCAGGGCGAACAGAGCCGAGCTGCCTCCATCCAGCATTCCCTGCTCCCCGTCCAGCCGTTCCCAAGGGATTAAAGGCAGGGAGAAGGAGCTCTCCTGGGTGTCCCCAGGCTGGCAGGAGCTGCACCCCTTGGTTTTGGGTGCTCCCCAAGAGCTCAGATGTGGATCCAGATGTGCTGAGACCCCTTTTGGTCGGCACCCAACACCTGCCTGTCCAAGGGACGGGATTTGTGTCCACATTCCCCAATCCAGCCTCTCTTTAGCTCCTTGTTGGAGAAGTTTTCCTCCCTTTCTGTCCGTCCCTGGGACTGTGGATGTGCCCATCCCTCTCCTGCCACCAGATTCCTCCCCTCAGAGCCAAAGGGACTCGGGAGGAACAGGGACAGGGAAATGAGACCCCAGGATCCGTGAGGATCATCAGCCAGAGCCCAGGAACGCTGAGCAGGAGCCACGGGACACTCTGGGTGGGTTTGATCCCAAACCACGGCTCCAGCTTTGCGTCTTCCCACATCCTCTGGAGCTCTGGGCACCACGGCCAGCTGGGAGAAGGGAATCCGCAGGTTTGGGGGAGCTGTGGCTCGTGTTTGTGCTGCTGGAGAAGCTCTGCCTCATCCCAGCTCCCTCCAGGATGCCGCTCCTGCCTTTTGCTTGTCCAGCCCTTTGGGAATGCTGAGCTCAGCTCATCAGGAACTCCGTGTGCTTCCCACCCAGAGCACAAAGAGCTTTTCCCCCTCATCAGAGCCCCTGAAGCTCCCACATTCCCCAGGGCCTCCCTGCATTCCCAGAGGGATGTTGGTACTTTGGACTTTGCAGGAATTTTACGGGATCCTCAGTTACAGCATGAAACCTTCCAGCTTCTCTGCATCCCTCCTCTCTCCTCTCCTATTTTCCCACCCCCCTGATGGACTTTGGAGCTCACTGACATCTCGGGACTTCCATGACGGATGGATTTGGACCTTGGGATTGGGGAGAATAATCAGAAAACCAGCTCCATGTGCATGTCCTGGGCTTGGCAAAAGAAAGTAGCTTCACATCTATCAATTCCCTGATCTCTGGTACCTTAGGGCAGTGCTGTGATTGATTGAAGCTGAAATTACTGTTTTTGAATGCCTCGTTACCTCTGTTCCCAAAAACCAGAGCTCTGAGCCACCCCCACATCTCCCTTGTGCTTGGGGAGCAGAGGCTTGGACTCACCCCAGGCTCTGAGCAGGATTTGGCCTGGCCAGGAAGAGTCTGGGGCTGCAGGAGTTTGGGAAAAAAGCGAGAGAAGTCCCATCCCAAAGGCCGGCTCACCTTAGGGCTTTTCCTGGGCTCGTGGTTGGTTTTAAACCTGTTGGGTTCAGGCCAGGACTGGTCCCGTTCTGGGGCAGCAGGGGAGGGAAGGAACCGGTCCCTGCTCTGCCGGGAGAAGGGGAGAAGGGATCCAGGGCCCTCAGCTTGGCAGGGCACCCCTGGAGCAGGGATTGGGGCAATTTAAAGGAGAGGGAGCTGGGAGCTGTGGGATGAGCCTGTGCCAGTGATGGAAGGGTCTGTTCACTTCTCCCTGTGCCAGCAGAGCCGCTGCCTCTTCCTGGGGGCATTTTGGGAGCATTTCCCAGGACATTCCCTGAGCATTCCCAGGACATTCCCTCTGCATTCCCTGAGCATTCCCTCTGCACTTCCCAGGACATTCCCTGAGCATTCCCAGGGCATTCCCTCTGCACTTCCCAGGACATTCCCTCTGCCTTCCCAGGACATTCCCTCTGCATTCCCAGGACATTCCCTCTGCACTTCCCAGGACATTCCCTCTGCATTCCCAGGGCATTCCCTCTGCACTTCCCAGGACATTCCCTCTGCACTTCCCAGGACATTCCCTCTGCATTCCCAGGGCATTCCCTCTGCACTTCCCAGGACATTCCCTCTGCATTCCCAGGACATTCCCTCTGCATTCCCAGGGCATTCCCTCTGCATTCCCAGGGCATTCCCTCTGCATTCCCAGGGCATTCCCTGAGCATTCCCAGGGCATTCCCTCTGCATTCTCAGGACATTCCCTCTGCATTCCCTGTGGATCTTGAGGGGCAGGGGGCTTTGGGCAGGAGCCTGTGGGGTCTGTGCTGAGCCCACTCGTGTCCAGTTTCAGGGGTCAGGCTGTGACCCCTGGGCAGGCAGAGCCTTTCCCACCCCATTCCCAGGGGGAGCTGGGGGTCAGCACCATCCCCACGTTCCCCGTGGCCCTGCAGCAGCTGGGATGTGAGGCTGGGAAGGATCAACTTACCCAAACTTCATTCCTGCCTATTTCTGTCCCTCTCCTGGCCAGCTTGTTCCCGGGGGAGTTAATTTAATTGCCACCTTCCTCGCTGCGTGGCTGTGGTTGTGTGTGAGCCCTTGTGCAGGGTAATTACAAGTGTGGACACGGCAGGAACGAGCCTGGGCTCCATCCCAGCCAGAGCAGCACCCTGGATATCCCTATGGATCCATCCAGCCGGGGCTGCTGCTGTCCCACAGAGCTCCAGACTGGTCTCATCCCCAGGAAAGGGCACAGAGCGGGCAAGGGATGCTCTGGAGGCAGCACAGAGTGGCAGGGACAGGGATCTGCTGGAGCTCTCCCTGTGCCAGCCCTTCTCCTGCTGCTGCACCCGATTTTCCAGCTCTCTTTCCCAATCTCTGACCTGCAGGGAAGGGGAGCTGGTGATGATGTGGCTGTTCTGAGCATTCCTGGCGGGTTTTAAGCCCTGAACATGCTCTGGGCATCTCACAGCAGAAACCAGAACTCCTGTTCCTTCCCAGGGACTCTGTGGGAGCTTCACCCTCTGTGCCGGGCCCTGGACACCTCTGGCTCCACTCAGAGCTCCTCATCCCTCAGGATTTCACGTTTGGCTTTGGATCAGGGCTGGCTTGGGCCAGTCCAGGTTGGGACATGACAGAGGCTGTGGATGCAGCAATGGGTGGATGTTATTCACCCCCACACCCACGGGGAGATGACAGCCTGCTCTCCTCCCCTCTCCATTTTGCTCCAGGCTTTCCAGAGCCATGGGAATGGCTTTTCTCCCATCTGGGGCTTGCACACTCACGCTCCATTGGGATTTGGAGCCAATGCTGGTGTGCAAAATTCAGCTGGAGCTGCTGGATTTCCCCTTGTTGAGCCCCAACAAAATCTCCTCACCCATGAGAGCTGTGAGCAGGGCTCTGTGCTGGGGTGAATTTTTCTTCCCACAAAATCTCAGGAGCTTCAGCACCCCAGGCTGGATCTGCCCCCTGGGGAGGGCAGAGGGGAAACTGAGGCACATGGATGACTTTGGAAGGTCTTGTGGAGCTGGGAGACCCCTGGAGAGCTTCTCCAGACCGGCTGCAGCCCCTCTGCTGCATTTCCAGGCTCCCACTGATCCCGGGGCGCAGCTGGAACCCCCCAACTTCCCTCCTTAGGCTCCTTTTAGTTATCCGTAATTGCCCTCCTTCCTGCTGGGCTCTGGTGTGCGGGAGCCTGGTTTTATCGAGGATAATGAAGTGTCCCAGGTCTCTTTCCCCCTTCCCCTCCCCTCCCTGCAGGACTCCTGTTACAGCCAGGGCAATTATGGCTCTGCTCTCCCTCCCTCTGCCCAGCCTATAATTTAGTTTTATATAAAGTGCGCTCCAGTCCCTGTTGTGCAAGACGTTGCTATTCCGAGGGCTGGGCAGAGGGCTGGGGTGGCGGGGAGGGGGCTGGGGCAGCGTGGAATCGCACCGAGCCCCACCTCGAGCACCCCAAATTCCCCGTGGGATGGAGCCGCCAGCCCCCAGCAGCGCTGGAGGTGGTCCTGCCTTCTCCCGGCTTTCTGCGGGGGGGTGTTCGGTACCGGGATTTCTCCCGTGGGGAATAACTCGGCTCCTTTCAGGCTTTTCCCGTCCCATCGAGGGGTCCTGCAGGGGTTCCTGCTGCTCCAGAGCGCAGGAGGATGAGGGAAGGTGGCAGCCAGCTCCCGCAGGGAAGACAGTGGCCCTTTCATGGGAAGCGGGATGAAAAATCCAGCTTGAGCTGCTGAGTGTAACCAGATCCCGTGGCTTTTTGGAGAAGGAATGTGAGAGTTTGGGAGGCTTTTCGGGATGGCGCTGCAGCGGGGTGAGCAGCTGCCCAGTGATGCAGCCCCCGCGGTGCTCCAGCTCTTGCCCCGCTCTGTGTGCGATGGGGACGGGAATCAGAGCCCCGACACCCTGCCCGGTGCCAGGGACAGTGCCGGGGCCGGCCTGGGAGCTTGGCTGACCCCGGGGAGCTCAGCTCTAACCCCGTTTCTCTTGCAGAGGTGGCTGAGCCCTCGCTCCCTGTCCCGAGGCCGATCCCAGCGCTGCCCCCGGTGGAGCCCCGGCCGCCCGCCCGCCCCGCGGTGCCGAAGAAGGAGAAACCCCTGGGAGGTGACAAATCCCCAGCGGTGCTGAGGAAAGGCCCCCGGGCCGAGCTCTGCGGCGCTCCCGAAGCTGTGACATGTGAGTGTTTCCCTCGGTGCCAGCTCGGACACGGCCGGACCCTCTCCCTGCGCTGCTGCCGCCGCCTCAGCTGCGGCGGGACTCATCAAAAAGCCGGGCAGAGGTGGGAACCCGGCTCCTCCTCGCTTTGTTCCTCCCCACATCAGAGCTCGAACCCAGCTTGAGTCACCCGCAGAGGCGAAAGTGAAGGGCGGCACCCGAGGTGGCTCCCGGTGCCCTCGGAGGAGGAGCGGGGGCAGCTGGAGCTGCCTTGGGAAGGGTTGGGGTCCCCTGGGAAAGGGATGAGCCTGCTCGGGAAAGGGGCTGGATGGAGCATCCCCCAGAACCCCTCGAAGTAGGAGAGAGGACACCCACAAAGAACGTTTTTGTGGGCACAGCCGTGAGGTATTTCCGTGGGCACTGCCCCGGGATGTCCCCATGGCACAGTCCCGGGATGTCCCCGTGGCACAGCCCCGGGATGTCCCCATGTCAGAGCCCCGGGATGTCCCGGTGTCACAGCCCCGGGATGTCCCCATGGCACAGCCCCGGGATGTCCCGGTGTCACAGCCGT